AACTGTCTCCAGAAGAACTTTTGTCCTTCCACCGGTTTTTTGTTTCTGAGAACAGAATGAATGCCAGATTTAATGATAGGATGAGGAAAAAATAGATCAATGAAATTATTGAAAAGCAAAACCTCTTTCCAAGGGACAAATGACAGATCTTAAATGGTATATAGCACTCCACACAGTCAATGAAAAAGATACATACATCAAGATTGAACACCGGGATCCTATTATGCCGTGTATCCTATTATGCTGTGTATCCTCTAGAAATTTTAAGGGATGAAATACGAAACTCAATTAACCAATGGGAAGTCAGACTCCTTACACTAGAATAAGTTGAATACCACTAGAACACATGCAAGTGAAGGCCTATATTTATATGATTAATAAGAGTCCTATAATGGAAGAAGCTCCCAAAGTAAAAAAAATAAAGCAGATGTAGAATACTGATTCACAAGTTCATTAAATGATCTATTCTTCAAGTGATGATAGTAGTAAATTGAATAGAAGGTGAAGAGAATGAAAGTCAAATGATCAATATTCACAAGCATTACCTGCTCAAGCACCGAAACCAGCTCCATGGCAGTTGCTCTGAACTGGCGAGACAGTGCTATAAAATCTGGATCTTGTTCCACATGCTCCATCTCTAATTACAATCAACAAAACAGCAATTATGGGTGATGATAAAGCTTTTCAGTGGTAATAACATAACCTAAAAATGCTGTTTTCAGAAAATTCTAGCCCCTGTGAACAAATGGAAAAAAGAGACTACCTATATGACAGGTGATGATATAGCTTTTCAGTGGTAATACTTTTAACCTCAAAAACGCCATTTAAAAGTTTTTGAGAAAATTCCAAACACTATGAGCAGATAGAAGACCATCTAGATAAACCTAAGGAACTTTTTATGATTTCCAGGTATTATTGAAACAAATTTCAGAAATTAATAATAGATTTTTTTTTTTTAAATAGGAAACTAATAATAGAAATTAAACCAAGTTTTTGCAGGGAAATCACATAATTTTGTCTAGTAGTAACTTGTTCATGGAATAACAATACCGCAATCTTTCTCTAGACAAAATAGTAGAATTACCTCTTTAACATAGATGTTCTACTCTGATGACTTATGCACACTGCATTTATATTTATGACTTCCTCCACTGCATTATAATTGTTCAATCCTAAATTGCGTAGCACTAGCAAGAAGGCTGCTTGATTGTACAAAATCTACCAGCTATATGATCTCATAGGACAGACAGGTACTGGATAACTTACCGGTCTTTGTCATCTCAAGTGAGGATATCCGTGCCATGGAATATGTTCCTCTTGTGCTAAGCTCATGGACACTGAACCTGCACAAACCTTCAAGGACCACAATATATGTAACTCTTCCACTCGGTTTCTCCACCCCTCTGGATAGATGTAAAGCACGAGCTGCCACACCCCTGAGAAATTCAAAGAAAAAATTCAAGGAAAAATATAACTCACTACGAGTTCACAACTGACACATTGCAAGAGAAATTATTCGAGGTGTTTGCTGAACATTTCAGAAAATATGACAATGCAATGTGATAAATGCTATTCTGAACTGTACCTGTTATGCCAATGAATAACTTCCTGTTGATTTTTGCCATCAGCTTTGTTAGAATCTGATATACCAACTTGAATTTTTGCGCCACGTTCTCCAGATTCACCTCCTGCACCTACTTAATGAAATAAAATATTAGAATATTCTAATAATCTCCATTTTATATGAACACGCAACAAAACATATAACTGAAAATTAACTTATTGGTACCTGGAGCCACAGTGGAACCAACCGATGCTGTTTCAGCAGCATCTCGAACAGGTAAAATGCCAATTAAGCCCTTCTCTTCTCTCTGCCACAGCTCTTGCTCCACCAATGTAACACTACAGAAGTCAAAGCATCATTTTCTTCAATTGCATAATTAGAGACACATAAGAAGCCAACAAGCTAATTATCGAGTAATTAGTTAAATGATAAGGTGACATAGCACCATTGTGCATAAAAATTCATAGGAATCAGAATAGAAAAGTTAAAATAGGATTGATTACTCGTCAACACCTTCAATATCAATAAAAATCAACCAGTAAGATGTCGATAGGAAGAACAAAAACATTACGCCCATTTGATTTCATATAAAACAATTAAAAAGAAAAGGAACCGAAATTAGACAAAATTGAATTCAATACTTCCCAAAATTCCATAAAAATGCTACTAACTCGACAGTAAAAGCGCATAACAAAAGAAAGCAAGCACGATGATATTACTCTATTTGCTACCAACTCAAACGCCAATTTTCTCAACCCTATGTTCGTATAAAACGAGCGTTAAATACAAAATAGACAAACGATCATCATGAAAAATCATCATCTAGGAAGTTCAAAAGATAGAAAGGAATCAGTAAGAAAAATGATTTCCCCGGGAAACAGACGGAAATTCAATTAGTTACCTGCTGTGAGAAGTGCAACGAATTCGAATTATGGCGCCAGGTAAAAGAACCTTGTTCCTGAACGGTAGAATTGCCAACCGACTTGGTAGCTCAACCGATTCCGCCATTTTTCCCCTTTCCACTCAGAAGTTAATAGTTGGGATAAGGAAGGAGAGAAAGAGGTCTGTTTCCTTTTCTGGTTTTATAGAGTGATTGATTGAGTTTTTTTTTATTTTTTTCCTTTTTTCTCAGTCGGAAATGTCTTACTATAACCAGCTTAGTTTCCAATTTGTGCGGCGGGTGACATAAAGATGAGCAAGGGTGTTTATTAATTTTTAAAAGGGAGTTTATTTGAAAATTAATTTTTTTAAATTTTTATCCTTTGATATAATTAAATTATTTAATTACTGTTATAATATTTTATTTGAATCTTGCATATATCAGTTAAACTAAGTGAGAGGACTATATTAAAGAGAATTTTGAATGTAAAAATAAAATTAATATACTATATATATGTATATTAATTATCTATTGTAATTTTTAAATAAAAACGGAGTTACATTTTTAGTTAACTACAAATGTATTATATTACATATTTTTAGTTATCTATTTAAATTTTTAAATAAAAATTTTATTTTTAATTAACTATAAATACACTAAATTACATATTTTTTATACATCATTTAGAATCTGTTTTTTTTTTATTATGTATTCTCTTTATCTTATTTTTTTCTTTATTTAATTAATATTTAAAATGAGTGTTATCAGATAATCATCTTAACTTTTTTCGTTCTTAAATTTTAGTTCTTGGAAATAGTAAATAAATGACGGTTTCAAAAACAAGTATTATTGTAATAACCCAAAAAAATTTAATAAGTCAAAATTTATAAATAAAAATATATACAAAATTTTTTTGTAAATTAATAAATAAATTGTTGATTTTAGTATGAATATTTTAAAAGGATATGGAGTACGAGGGTAGAGAAAAATACACCTATTAGGAAATATTTAAATTTAATTAAATTTTTCAAAATTTAAAACAAATATTTGGAATAATTTATATAAATTAAATAAATTATACAGAAGAACAAATTATAATTAAAAATGAAATTTGAGGAAAAAATAAATTTTATTTGAAATAAAGATTGAATTGTAAAAAATTAAAAGATGATTAAATTGAAAAGAATTTTAAAAGAGAGAAAATCTGAAAAATTTAAAGAGGTGCAACACCTAAGCAAGTTAGGTGTCCAAGGACCAATCAAACATCTCCACGTAATTAGCCACTTAGGAGAGCACAAAGGAATACGGAAGCCAACTAGATTGAACCACATAGGAATTGGAATGAAAGACAAACGATTGAAATCTGCGCAAGTGAAAGGAGCAACGAAAAAATAAACGAGTAGGATGACGCTAAAGAAGCGAGGAAATAAAATAGATAGGTGAGATAATTTGAACAGACGAGGAATAAGGAAAATGAACGGACGAGATAGTGCCACACAAAAAGAAAATATTGAATGAACGACCACAATGGATAGAGGTAAAGAAATAAAAGACTACGATTTCACCACGAAGGAGAAATTGGAAGGAAATAGATAGTGAGGATCCGTTTAGGAGAATTAGTCAAAGTGAAAAAGCAAAAATACCCTTAATTAAATACATAATTCAATATGCAGACATATAATTAGACGGTCCTGTGACACTCGAAAACTTAGTACGTAAACGCTTCCTTCATTGGTTTATTTATGTAGAAAATACCGAGCAAAGAAATGAGAGCTGCGAGCGAGAGAAGGAGACCAAGGGAATTTCCTGTGTGAGGGGTGAGAGGAAAAATTTGTGAGAGTGAGAGAGAGAGAGAGAGATTGAAGGAGAAGTAGGAAAGGTTTATAACTAAGGAGAAACGATGGTAGCCGAAAGGAAGGAGAATAGAGAACATGAACCCAAACGTTCGTTTCAGGTTATAAAATACATGCCCATATCTGAAGCACCAAGGTAATTCTTCTTCTTCAAATCACCAATTTTTTTTACTATTATTACTATTTCATTTTATGATATTGATGTAACGGTCCCGAAAATTTAAAGAAAATGTATGTATTAAAATTTCTAAGTACAGAAGCGAAATAAAAATTATGATTAATATCCCTTACATAATAACCAAAACATATTAAACGTATGAAAGAATAAACTAACTGAAGTAAACACTAGTAATGAATGCTATAAATAAATCTATGAAATCCTTAGTCATTTACTCGCCGTCTTCCTACCGGACGGGCTCGGGAACCAAGTCCTCCTGATCTAAAATGATTAAGTAAGGAATGAGCTACACTAGCCCATTAAAGACATCACACTATCTCACTGTCACAAGAGTAAGGGTTGGTAGAAAATAAAAAAACGACAAATGGAGCATAATTTATAGCAAACTCATTTATCAATAATAAAAACTTTTACTGTCCACTTACCTCGGTGAGATTCATGAAAATAATTTATTAAAACAATTACATCATAAACATCATAAAATCATGTACACTTTGTAACATAACACATATCAAACTTTCGTTTTTCAATCATCAGACAACAATTTTTCTCTTTTATCAGCCTACTAGTATCCATGGGGATCCATAGGGGGTCCCCGCTACACGTGAACCATTCACATTAATAACTTGATTTCAGGACCGTCCTCATACCCCGTCCGGTATGGGCGTCAAAATCATAAACCTCAATACCCCGTCCGGTATGAGGGTGAAACAGGCCGTCCCCATACCCCGTCCGGTATGGGCGCCAAAACACATAAGGTCTCCATACCCCGTCTGATATGAGAGACCACGTTCCCGGTAGGGTTCCCTACGGACCCGGTCCGTCTACCATCTCCTAGGATATCTAGTTAGGTTATTGACATCATCCATTTATCAATTCACATACATTTTTCCATTTTTCTTGGTCTTAATTATCCAATCAAACATAAACACGTAAACCAGTAATGAACACCAAACAAGACAACAACGGGTTCACAATAATTCAAACCATAATAAATGAAACCGTGATTCATGCATACGAAACCATAGAATAAACACATCAAATATCATACTGTATTTAAAACTATAAAATAGATCAACAACAACTGACCGAAAAATACATCAAATTCGGGCTCCATTAGCAACCTTAATTAATTATACACAATTCATGAGATATCGGTTATTCATTTATTGAGCTTTAATACCGTGATAGGAAATAGGGTGAGAAATCCTTACTTGTTTCGGAGTCTGAAATTGGGTTCTCACTGCGCCTACAGGCTGTCCCTAGATTTCCTGAATTTCTTTTTCCGGGAATCGAAATACACTTCCGGTACCTACACATGTCCCGGAAAAAAACTCAAAAACAATCTCAAGGCCTACTCGGCTATTTTCAAAACTCCGGCATGACAGATTCGCCGTGCTTCGGCGACGGTGATTCCGCCGTGCTCCCGCGACGGTGGCGATCCTCCTCGGGTTGGCCGTTTTCGGCCGAATTCAGCCAAACTTGCATTGGTTCCTGCGATAAAACAACCCTAGGGCCTTCGGTAGGCCAAAAAATTACGAAAAACCGAGACTTATCGGCGGCGAAGCTCTCGGGTGCGGCAGCTTCTCCGGCACGAGTCGCGATTCGATGTTTTACTCCGGTCAACCTGTAGAGAAAAGGAAGGTGATCACAGTGGTGTAAAAATTGCATCGAACGGGAACCGGGAAGGGCCTCATCGGAGGCAAAAATCGGGGGAAGCCGGGGCGGCGCCGCTGGACTTCAGCGGTATTTTTCGGCCGATTGGCCAGTGGTTTGGCTCCGATTTGGCCACAAGTGGATTCAGCATCGAAAAACGAGCAAAGGGGAGAAAATTTACCTCATTTGGCGGTCGAAAAATCCTCCGGTGCGGCGGCGGGTGGCAACGGCCGACTCCTCCGGTGACTGGGTCGTCTTCTCCGGCTAGGATTTGAGGTTGGGTGTGGGTGAGGTTATTTATAATCTTCCCCTTTTAATCTCAGCCGTTCATCACGATTTAATCTAAATCGTCCGATCGCAATTAAAATGAGAATAAATCTGGGCCGTCCGTGCGCGCGAGAATGGATCTGGGCCGTCCGATCGCGCGCACGCGTATCGCTCACGTGGCCCCGTCCCGCGTCAGCGTTCCTGCCACGCGGCGTGTCCTGATTGGCTGCGGCTGCTGACGTGGTGCAACTTCTCTAAATTGTATTTTGATATCCGGTTATTTATTTTCTTTTCAAAAACATTGTCAGAATCTAAAATTTCACCCATTTTTTTCAAAATCATTTTCAACTAAATCCAAAAAATAATTTTAACTATTTTTATCATTATTATTATTATTTTTATTTAAATTAAATTAAATTACACCCTTATGAATAAATTATTAAAATAAAATAAAATCACATAAAATTTTAATAAAAATAATAAATAAAGGTTTGGGTGTTACAATTGACCTCAATTAATTAATTTTTTTTTTTCAAAATCAAATCACTAAAATTTGTCCATCTCCATTCTTCTTCATTTTTGTCAGTCAATACGAGACAAATGAGTATGTAAAATATTAAATTCATCAATTTTGATTAATTTTTTAATTTTTAATTTAAAAACAAAAAATATATACTTATCATATTTAAAACAGGATCATATATTAATTATTATACAAATTTTTTTTAATTAAAAATTTTAAAATAAAATAATACCTACTGTATGTATGTTTTGCAATCCAAATTACAGTGCAAATATGTGATGATTAAATTAATTACAATAGTTTATTTAATAATTAATAATTGCATGTTAGATTTCATCATACATCACGAAAACACAAAAAAAAAAAAAATTAAAAAAAAAAGAAAAAAAAAAAAGAGGAAACAAGAAAAGTAAAATTAGAAAAAGAGTGGGATACATCCACCAGGGTTTCAATCTTCCATCTTCCTTCCTCCTTTCAAGAAACAAACTTCCAGGTTAACACGTTAGCATTTAATTATGAAAATGATATTTTCAAATTCCAAGCTTTTAATGTACCAAGAAAAAAGGTTTTGGGCGATTTTTAATTACACTAGGACGGAATTGAAATTAACATCATGAGGCTGAACATTATTATTTTGCAAATTAAGTGATTTTAAACATAAGCTCTGGATCCACTACTCCAACTTTTAATTTGAGTAATATTTTAATAATTTCTTAAAAAGAAAAACTACTGTAATAAATAAATGGAGAAAAATGAAAAAATAAACTTACCAAACGATTGACTTATATATATATATATATATATATATATGAAGTATCATTGATTAGTCAGCCCCTAATTTAAGTAACATTTTTATAACTTATGTTTTCTTTAGTCTTTTAAGTAGCAAAGTAAAGGAATAAAGAAATAAAATAAATTCCCTCCATAAACTGGCACAAAATTTTCAGTTTTTTTTTTTTTTTTATATATATAAATATAAATATGTTATTGTGATTTTCTTCATAAAATTTGTAAAAAATTAATTATTTTTTAAAATAATTAAGGCAAAAATTCAAAGTAATATTCAATTTTTTAAATTCCATAATTATATATATAAATATATATTTGTTTTTTTTGCGCTAAATGATGTCTGAACGCAGAAAAAGAAGCAATAAGTTCGAAAGAGAAGAAAATGAAGACTGAAGATGGTTTGTTGTTTCCTCATACATACAGATTTCGCGATCAATACGCGTCTTCTCTTGTTTCGTAGCGGCAGGTCTCGTAGATTTCCATTTTCTTCTTGAATTTGCCCTTTTCTTTCGTATTCATATCCTGTTTTCCACAATTTTCTCTATTTCTTCTCCTCACTTTCTCTCTCTCTCTCTCTCTCTCTCTCTCTATATATATATATATATATGTGTGTGTATATATATGTACATATGTAGGTATATGTTGTTTACTTTTCTTTCATTTCCACCCTCCTTTTTCTTTTCATGGCGGCTTCTACTTGATTTTTTCCCCACTCCTGCTTTTTCCATCTAGTTTTCTCCATAACTCATCGCCATTAACTTGAATGAGAAGAAGCACATTGCTGCTGCGACTGATTTTTGTAAATTCACGATCAGAAGCCCAAACAGATGAAGTGCTTGTATCTTTTCAAGAGGAAATCCAAGAGCAAGGGAGAGGTAGAATCTGTCCCTGAATTGAGGGACAATGGAGATGATTCTACTCTAACTCGCACAACAAAATCCTTGCCATCCCGGAGGAGTATACACGAATTGTACAAAGAAAACGAGCACAATTTGAGGGTTTTCTCTTTCCAAGAGCTTAGCGATGCAACTAATGGATTCAGCAGGAGGCTAAAGCTTGGAGAAGGTGGTTTTGGGAGTGTATATAAGGGTACACTTAGCCCTGCCCTTCCTCAGGGAAATCCTCAAATTGTCGCCATTAAAAAGCTCAACAACCAGGGATTGCAGGTAGTTCTTCTTTATCTGCTTCCTCAATATTCTAAATTCTATCATAATCAAATTCAGGGTTTATCTTCTATTTTGCTTCATTACATTATCTGTCTTTACTCTCAACAGCTAACAGCAGCTGAATATTAGCGGCATCATATTAGTTTGGTTTCTGTGTTTTTGAGCAAATTCGGTTGTTATCAATTCATGCTTTCGGTTGTTTATCGTAGATACGACTTGATTGTTTGGAAGAACAATGTAAAGAGACCTATATCCTTCTCCCATTATGTTTGTATATCTATTTTTCACTATATCTTCTTCTTTTGGCAATCAAAGTGTATATCCTTTGTTGTGTAGGGTCATAAACAGTGGCTAGCAGAAGTTGAGTTTCTTGGTGTTGTCAATCACCCTAACATAGTAAAACTTTTAGGATATTGCGCTCAAGATGGTGAAAGGGGGATCCACCGACTGTTGGTTTATGAATTCATGCCTAACAGGAGCTTAGAAGACCATCTCTTCAGTAGGGTTTCCCTCACCTTGCCTTGGGAAAGAAGATTGGAGATTATGCTTGGTGTGGCTCAGGGATTAGATTATTTACATCGGGCATTGGAAGTGCAGGTACTTTTTTCTTTCATCCATGAGCTATAGTTGAAATGTTGAAATTTTTTAACCTATAATATCGAATGCTCTCTCTTTTACTTTCATGTACTTATTTACTGATGTTGTTAAGTTTAAGACAACTCTGGTGAAACTGAAAGCCAGATTGGTATTTGATGGCCATAACTTTTACGCAGAATTACAGTTTGATGGTTTGGCTTTATTTGAGTTTATATTCTGTCACAAAATTAGGAGAATTGTTGGTCATTTTATGTAAGACGATTAAGTTTTTAGAAAATTTGTGTCAATCATCTGCCTATGTTTTAAAAGATAAAATGAGTTAAAATGAGAAAAAGAAAAAAAAAAAAAAAAAAAAAACAAAATAAGGACAAACAAGTAAAACGAGTCCGAATGAGAAAAGAGGGAAACAAAAAGGAAATGAAAGTCTGAATCAAGGTTTGCAAAATAAAATAAATATGGAGAAGAAGAAACAGTTTCCCTTATTCTTCTCAACCACTTATCTTCTTTATATAAACCAATGTAGAGTGAGAAGGACTGATCTCTGCATGTGATCACCTCTAATATGCTATCCTCCTTGTAATTATGAAAATTTTTGCTTTCAATTTTCTAGTTTCAAAAGTATCATCAGGTGAGATCCTATGAAAATAAATAAATAAATAAATAACATGATTTATGTCCGAATGAGCCAAACATACGGGTGAAGCTATAATTGTGATAAATTTTTGTTTTTCTTGATCTTGAACACCATCTGAAACTTTGAAGTTCTGTTTTCTACAAGTAACAAATACCCACTTGCTTTGTTACAGATATAAGAAGAGAAAATCTTTCTAATGTGTTTGTCATTGTTAGTTACATGTTTCTGAAACATCTGTGGCTGCATTGGCTTGACAGGTGATATATCGAGATTTCAAACCCTCGAATGTGCTTCTAGACGAAAACTTTAAGCCCAAGCTCTCAGATTTTGGACTTGCTAGGGAAGGGCCGATGGATAATCGTAGTCATGTATCTACAGCTGTAAGTAGAAAGTAGATAATATTAGGAAACAATTTGAACCACATTCAAAATGGTAATTCTTACATGGAACTTTCAGAATGCCATAATTGTGTTTGAAATCCATTACAAAGGACGTAATTTATAAAGCACGTATTTTGTAATTAAAAGATTCCATGTTGGTTTTAAACATGCTCTTGTTGTTTTTGTTACAGGCTGTTGGTACATATGGATATGCTGCTCCAGAGTATGTAGAGACAGGCCATCTCAGTGCACAGAGTGATATATGGAGTTTTGGCGTGGTGCTTTACGAGATACTCACAGGCAGGCGAGTAATAGACAGAAACCGGCCTGCGGTGGAGCATAAGCTTCTGGATTGGGTAAAACAGTTCCCTCCAGACAGTAAAAAGTTCAGCATGATAATAGACCCTTGCTTGAGGAACCTCTACCCTATCGCTGCAGCTAGGACAGTGGGCAACTTAGCTAATAGCTGCCTAAATAGAAATGCAAAACGACGACCGACAATGAGTGAAATTGTAGAGACCTTGAAGCAAGCCATAGGAGAAACAAAAGCAAGAACACAAAGTTCTCTTAAGCACACATCTAGAGTACCGGACAAAACTTCAAATATGGTTGGTGTGAGATTTAATATGTTTGTGATTTAGCTTGTGATAATTCCATTATTGATTAACTTGTGTTTTTAATGATTTTTACGTACAGGATTAGGACTCTCCCATAGAGGAATTATATAATATGTGGTGGGTTCAGCTCATCTTCAAATATGGTGGACGTTGACCGCCAACTTCTTGGATTCTTTTTTGCCTACGACCATAAAATTAATAAATTCATGCGAGAGATTGAAAGTGGATATTTGCGCCTATCTACTCATGCAAGTTAAATATATTTAATTAATTATGTTATTTGTTTGCTTTCTTGTTTATTCTTATTATTAAGTGTTTTCTATTGGTAGCACTTAAAAAACCTTATGACAAAATCCACAGGGTAAGACCACAGCTGACTTTGAACAAATATGTATATGAGTCCAAAAGCTAGGAACCAACAGATTCATGAAGTAGTCTTAATATATGCACATGTGTATATATACATATCTACGTAGATACACACATGTTGCCTCCAACTTGTAGAAATTCAGGAATTAAGAGACATTATGCAGTCAATAGAGAGTAATAAAGAAAAATCAGAAATTGGGAAGTGGCCACAAAAAAGAACGTTTGAAAAGTTACACGGTCAAATGATTTTGGAGATGTGCCCACTCCCTGTTGAAATATTTTGAAGTTTGACATTAGAATAATTCAG